AATTTTTTTTCCAACTCATTGGGTTTCCATAATTTGGAATGATGTCAGTCAATTACGAATTGTCGTTTTTTTCCTTAAAATACCAACATTTCTGCTTTTTAAAATCTAATTTCTATAATTTTTAAATATGAAATGACTGATAATTTGATCAGTTACTTAGTACTTTAGTTGACTTTTTACCAAATACATGTTTACTCGAGTAATTTCTACTCGAGTTATTTTACCTGAATTGTTGGGTGCTTCAGAAACCGAGTGAATGCTTCTCTGTTGCTGCTGTGGACGGTGTAATGTCAGGTGCGGTTTTATTAACCAGCCTGTTTTCATAAAACATATCGCCGTGGTTTTGTTGCGTATCCTTGGAGCCTCTGAAGTCATGATCCGCTGGTAAGAGTGACCTTTCCTGAGCCCTAGCTCGGTCCGATTAATTAGTTGTTGACATTTCTTGTTGCCATCCAGAGAGACCAGAGCAGATATGATGTGAGGAAATTATAAAGAGATTTCTCCAAGTAACAATGTGTAGTTTGCCTTTTAAATTAATTAGCGCCGGCTTGCAGATGATTTGTATGCGTAATTTAAAGTCAGGCAAGCCGTTGAAAACGTATTGTAGGACTAGATGTGTGTGTTTACTGGTAAAAAAGCTGCCAGATTCCCACAGTGTATGTTTGGTTGATGTGCTTCCTGAAAGGACGGGTGAAGCTGCGCGCATCAAAGCTCCAGCGGCACAAATATGACAGACGGGCTGAACTGATGTGAAAGGATTACAAATGGACTTCTCAAAGTTTAGGTTTTGGAGAAACTCCTCTGTCGGATCAGGAAGGACGGGTTCAAGAATTGATTGGACCACTTTTCAAAGTCTGTTACCTTTTATTTGGGTTTTCACAGGATCTGTCACGTCGCTTTTGCACTTCAGATTTGTTTTTACTCAAAATTTCACCGTGTTGTGAGCATGAATGACCAGTTTTCATCATGTCTCCATGTTCTGTTAATGAGGCTTTTGCAAAAACCAATTAATCACATAATACATAGAAATTAGCTCAATAATTTCCATTCTGGTTATTTTTTGAACAGCGATTCTGTTTAGACATCATAATCTGGTTGTATGTGGTTTATGTTTCAGTTTTATTTAATGTTTTTCTTTAAATTACTTCTAGTTTCAGTGTTAAATGTTATTTACAACATTAAACTTGCATTATTTTCCCATGACCAATATATATTACAATATTATCATTTATTGCGATCAAATCTGGGACAGTTTATTGTCCAGTAAAGTTTGTGACAGGCGTAGTTGTCACCTACATGATCTGAGTCACTCCATATTAGATAGACAAACACAAACCATGACAAAAGACCCACCAGATAAAAAATGTTTTTATTAGAGCTGTTTGGTTTTAGCTAGCTAGCTAGCTTTTCCTGCTAGCTGGTGTATGTTTTACCAAAGACAAAATAAAAATCCTACAACTGATGCTCCATTTCTGTCCACATTTGGTGAAGAGGAAACCGCGCTCGGTGTCTTCTTCGTAGGTCTTTGTGTCATTTCCGTCGGTAGTCCTTGGTGTAGCGCCCCCCACTGACGAGGAAGGGAACAGGTTGCCCTCTTTCACATTGGAGTTAGAAGGTGAACAGCAGCAGCTGAAAATGTAACAAATGCTGCAATTTTGTTCCCAAGTCGAACAGAACCTACTGGACTACTGGGTCTGAAGACACCCTAAAAAGCAAAAAAAACTACTTATTGCATCAGTTGGGGTTAAATAACTTGTTACCAGCTGGAAGATAATCAGCCTAATAATTAATCTGATTCTCCAGACATATTTGAATAATTATCTCACACTTATTATTGCAGTTCTCCTCTGACGCGTAAATTGCGCATGGTGATATTTTGACGATGCATTTCCGATGCACGGTGCAGACATTTCAAAGACGCTCCCTGCGGCTTCTCTGCACGTTCAGGTCCGCCTCTTACGTGGGCCCGTTGCCGTGGCAACGTCACCTGTCCCGCTCCGTGGCAGGAGAGGTTACCGGAGCGGAGATCAAAAAACGTGTAAAAGCCTCGCTCCTCACCCAGTCAGTTGATGTCCAGAAAGGAAGGAGAAAAGGAAAGCAGCGGTGCGTGGACAGTGAAGGAGTCTCCTGTCTCTGCCTCTCGCCGTCGGCCTCCAGGTTACACCTCGACTTCGACTTCAATCAGAAACATTTCAAAAGGAAAATGTCCAAGCAGACACGAGGCAAGGAACTGATTCATTTTGGATCGGATTGTAACGGTCTGAGAAGTATCATGAAAATTCATCCCGGTTATTAATCTGATCAGATTTGATTAAATGTGTTTTAAAAATGTGAAGAGGTTATACAAGCGAGTTGGAGGACAAATTCCCCCCATAAAACCGTTTGACAACAAGCGAGTTCATTTACTGATGATGGAAGTAATAAAAATTGACAGAGATTTTGGGCAAACCCAAATCTGCCGACAAACGATACACCTGATGTTAGGCAATGTTTAACATGCTGATATTAACTGATATATGTAGTTTGCGCGTTTCAGGTGGGGAACAGGTTGGCTATTTTTGATCTGATTGGGATTGTGGGATGTTTGACTGATTCAATAGAAGTGTTTCCCCCAGTGTATTATAAGCCTGGCGGGCCACCAGGCTTTACTTGTGCTTTAATTCTTTTAAAAGTTTGCAGTTTTTAAGATTTGATAGTTGGTGTTCAGGTGTTAATCTTTCAGTTTTTTAATAAGACATAATTATCTAGTGATATTTTAAAATTTCCTTTTTACTTTAAACAGTTTTAAACTCAAAAACACGTCGGGATGACTGACCCAACCACCAGGCTTAGCAAGTTTTCTGGGGGAAACATTGAAGAGGAAGCTGTTTGTTTTGTTTTGTTTTGTTTTGTGAAAGAGCAGGAAAATTTATAAATCAGTAAATATTAGCTACCAACACATATTTTCATACTTGTGCGCCTCTAAATAAAACTTCAGCCAGCAAATTGTAGTTGTGAACAACTTAATTAAACATTTTAGATGTTTCCCAGCTTGAATTTAGAGATAGACGACTTTTCTGACGAACGCATTACTGTATAATTATGATATATTGATAATTACTGATCACTTTCTCTGTTTAAAATATCTGAAACTCTGTCGAACTGGTGACATGACCTTTCCTGTTTTATTCAGTTTTCTCTCCTTGCCGTTTATTTTTAAACAGTTATGAGTCACGGTGGCAAAACCTTAAAAGTCCTGCGTCGCCAGTTACTCAGCAGGTGGTTGCTAGGTAACCAAAAGAATGAGTTGCTAGGTAACCAAAGAGCGAGCGAGCCAGTTGATTCCACTAAGCTAGCTTTGCTAGCTGTTAGAGATTGAGCTGCTAAAGCCTTTCCTCTGCCTACATTTCCTCTGGTTCTGGACCAGAGATCAATAAAAATATTGAACATGCTGTCAGACATATTATCTATTTATATTGATCATGTGTCTACAGTGGTATAGATTGTTTTTGATTTATTGTCCAGCGTTTCCCTGAAGGTGACGATCCCTGCCAGTAGGATAAAGTAAGGAAAAAACAGATTCATTAAATCTCTTCTCTTAAAGATAATTCAAACGATTGCGATAAGTTCAGCTGTGCCGCTTTTAACCAAATATTCACCATAAAAATCCTGCTTAAACAATCCTGAGAACTGCATGTACTTGAGGGAAAATACCACTCTTGAAATGATTCAAGCGCATTAAGTGTGTTTTTTCTGCTGCTAAATGTCATAAATTATCCCTTTTTACTCGGCTCAGGTGCTGAACAAGCACTTGCATGTAAATTTAGTTTAATTCTGCTGGGTTTTTTTTAGCTGGTAAATCTATTGACCTTTCAAAGCCTTTGCCACATTGCCTTTTGAGAGAGTGCTCATAGAGAAACCCACGTTGGGTTATTTTTTTTTAGCAGCGCTGTTGTGTGCAGCTGCCCTTTAGGAGTCAGATAGCTTCACCCTCCAACAGCATCTCTTCTCAGGGCTGCAGGATGACAGCGAAGGCCGTGTTTGAGTTTTCCCCTCCACCGTGTCGAAGCTCGGAGGCGAAGGAGGGAGAGGGAGGCTTGGTGTTGATTCAGCCTGTCCCCAGAGCGAGAGACTGGACGCATCACACACAGATTGAGCCGTGACCTTCCACATGTAGGGTCGCGACCTTCCAGAGACGAAGTGTAGAACGTCTCCCCCATCGGGGTCGCAGACATGCGCGCCACAAGAAATGTAGAAAACATGCGAATGTCAAAAAGAGGGCTTAGAAAAACAGGAAAAAGTTGGAGGGTTTGTTTGAAAATTCAAGGTTTTCTGGCCTCGAATGGAGGCGCTGGTGCGAATGGTGATGGGTTTTGTTTTTCCATGTTAGGAACTGGAGGAGAATTACCAGCGGGCGTACTCTGAGGCCCTGACGGCTTTTGGGAACGGAGCGCTGTTTATCGAGAAGTTTATCGAAAAGCCGAGACACATTGAAGTCCAGATCCTCGGTAAGTTTTCTCACTCTGGCTTGTGACTTCATATTTGGTTTGTACTTTAGTTTTGTTTTCAACTAGGGATGAGCAGCATGTACTTAAAGTTTCATCATAATGTTTTGAGTTATGAGTGATGTGAGCTATTACTTTTTTTTTTGCATACTACTCTGAAAAACACATTCCGGTTTTTAATACGCTTCTTCAAGACACCAGTCATAAAGAAACCAACTGCATTTAATCATATACTTTAATTTATTGATATTTATTGAAACTCACTGAACAAACAGTGGCAAAAATGGTAAAAAATAATCTCAAGAATAAACGATGTTGGGAGATTTTAAGCATAATAACTGGAATTTATTGTGACGATAAATTTATCACGATAAACGATACGATAAATTCCCACCCATTTAATTTATTTTGAATATCGTGTCTCTCAAAAAGAGCTTCTGTCTCCATGACTTCCAGGTAAATTAATGGCTAATTAAAAAAGCCTGAAATTATTAGATTTAATTTTAAGTGAATTTTTAAATGCGACTGGAATTTGATATAAAATTAGGATGATGGAAATGAGGCTTTCCGTCATCAGCCTGGGATCTCGCCACTCATCGTGAGAGAAAACCCCCCCACAACCAGCTGTTCAGTAATTTGATAAAACTGTTAATGCACCTTTTAATGTATAAAGTAGAAAAAAAATGCTTACTGGTAAAATTTAAAATCTGCAAAATGTGCCAATACTCAATAGATGCCTTACAAAATTTATCATTTTAAACCTTAAACGTCTCTTTTAAAGTTTTCTTTGTGACTTCAACTGGTATATTTTTGCAAAAAAAAAGAAAAAAAAAACAACTTTCTCATAAATTGATGTTTTTCCTTTTTTCTCCGTTTCTGCTCTGGCGAGTTGTTCCTGGTTTTCTCTTGTCACACCTGGTCTGTAACAATTCTTTTCCAGACTGTCTAAAGATTTTTACCTCTAATTTTCTGTGAATCTTTGTACATCTTGTACAGCATCTGCTCAGAAAATGGAGGCAAAGAAAATGCGACAATGTCTCTCGTTAGAGCTCCGAAGCTTAATCACTTCTTTATCCCCTGACTTTTTCACCTCACCTACTTTCTGTCCGTCCTCAGGTGATAAATATGGTAATGTCATCCATCTGTACGAGAGGGACTGCTCCATTCAGCGGAGACACCAGAAGGTGAAGTTCCTCATTTTCGAATTAATCTACTCCAATATAATGCTGGAATTTGTTTAAGATTATCTTCTTGACATTTCTCTTGAGTTGTAATGAGTAGCATGAAGTGGATGGTAATGGTAAGTAGGCGTGAAGCAAAGGTCACGGAGCAGGAAACGCGCCTGCGAGCGGCGCCGTCTGCTTGCCCTTATTTAGGCAGAAAGACCAATGTTGGCGTCACATTAAGTGATTATAAACAGGCTGCAAACCCTGAAGGGCCTCAGATTGCTCTGAGCAGCAGGGGGTTTGCAGAGTGCATTTAAAAAAATACCCAATTAGCCTCTAATAAGTTGTTTAAGCAACTTAATCCTTCAAATCAACTTGAATCAAAAGTTTATTAAAAGGTAGCTGCGTTATCCACTCGCTAAGAACAGAGGAATTAGTTCATTGTCAAAATAACAAATGCCTCAGCATCAGATTAGAGAGAGAACATTAGCAAAGCTTTCACCAGAGGAGGCTGATCAACATGTATTTTATTAACCACCGCCACCTCAAAGCGGTTTTAATTGCGCCTTTTCAACACTTTCATCCTTTCGCTTTAATCAAATTACTAATGATAATCATGTTAGCGACGCTGTTCACGCTGAAAACTGACGATTTTTATTTATTGTTTGTTTCTGTTTGGATTAATCTGCGTTTTCCCTCTGATCTGAGATCTTTTCCAACAATAGTCGAGTGTTGAGACGGCTTTGGGACGGTTCAGTCACTCTTCATCCTCTGGCAGAGATCTTATTTTGGGATTGAATTTAATATTTTTGTTTTAATCAGATTTGGATTGTGTTTGAATTCTTGTTTGTAAGTAATTGAATCAGCTTCCAACATGGTGAACTCCACCCACCCAGCAGCTAAATTCAGCACCGAGTGTCACCATTAAAAACCATTTAATGCATCTGCAGGGCAGTAAAGCAGGGAAAACAGAGAAATTGTGCACTTTTATAAAATTATTAGTGGTAAAATTGACTGTTTACTTTCTCTTTATTGCAAGCCGAGGGGAATTTAGTGATTTTTAGGGTGAACAATAATGAGCGCTGTGGTAAAATGCTGCTATTTAATATAAACAATGGATCAAATTGTAGTTTTGTGGGGGTTAAGGGGCACTCTCTGTAATAAACCAGCAATTATTCACCAACTGTGAGGTCTACTGCAGCTCCAAAGAGCATTTTAGCATCTTAATACGCATTGTCTTGGTTTTTATCACCCACAACGTTATTGTTTGACTTTTCCACAGCTACTAATACCAGAAATGAGACAGCCTGCCCCTATAGTAAAGGTCCTATTCTCTTTATTATCTCTAAAAACAAGGAAAGTTGATAGGCAGATGCTGTATTTTATTTCTGAATAGAATTAGTGCAGCTTTAAGTTGTTTTTTTTTTTTTTAAAGGTTGTGGAGATTGCACCTGGCTTCCAGCTGGACCCACAGCTGAGAGACAGACTTCATGCTGACGCCGTCAACCTGGCCAGACAGGTACGGTTCTGTATTTACTGGTACAGCTGTTCAAGCTGCTGCCTTCCTGATGAGGATTTCCCTTCCTGTTCAGATCCGGATTAGTTATTTATGATTTGTCACTGAGCTCCAAACTGACTATTAATTGGGGCTACATGGTTTAGATTTGTGTGATTTGGTCCCACCTAACTTACCGTCGATGTTGCACATACTGCAGCTTCATGATGGCGACTGATATTTTGACTTATCGGTATTTTCTGCAAATGAGCTACATTGCGCTGCTCCAACAAGATTTATGTTGGCCTGAAGTGAGAGGGTCCCATCTGGGACAGTTTTGAAGGTTTTGTGTGTGAAAATATGGCGATAAATCCATATATTAAGGGTGACCTTTTATGCTTCCTTGAACAGATTAGGATACGTCTACAAAACATGCTCATTACATTTTCTGGACTATCTTGGATGATGAGATTTTAGTCTGGTCAGTTCTGCCTATTTCGAGCTCCTTTCAGCTGTTTCAGGGCGTTGTGGCGCTTTAAATTCATCTTTGAAAAGCATTAGTAGAGCCTCCTGCACAACCAACAAGAATGCAGCAACTGGTTTCTGGATGGGAAGTCAACAATGAACCTCTTGTGTTTTCCAGCAGCCATTGTACAGTGCATACAGTGGTAAAACCAGCTTGGGGTTGTTAGTAGGGGTGCACTAATTGCTAATTGCAATTTTCTGGCCAACCGCAGATTACCGATCTTTTAAAAAGCCTAACTTACAGATTACGATTTTGGCTGATACCATTTTTTGTCTGAAATGTTGCTCAATATATCAAGAAAGTTGCTGAATTGGCAACAATGGGGTGACTATTGTTAACTGTAAATGTGCAGACAGGACCTGGTCGGCCGGTTTGTCAGTCAAATGTCTCTCACAGGAGAAAAGAAAACCACAGCGGTTGATTTTTAGACCTTTACCGAGGTTGATAAAATCAGTGGATAAGATCGGCTTCAGATGTAAAGATCGGCTGATAACTGGAAATTGGCACCGATAAACCGGCTGGTCGATAAACGGGTGCACCCCTTGTTGCTAGGTAACTGGGCTGGACTCAGCTGGGGTTGCTAGGTAACGCGGTGCACATGGAATGTGACTTAATCAGTTGGATGTCATTATTATTATCCTGCCATTTTGTCTTTTTCAGTTCCTGCAGCTTGAGCAGAACAGCAAACATGTTTGGTTAAACTTTTTTTCCAACATCATCTTTGTTGCTTCCAATGATGCACAGAAACGAGCATGTTCTTACTGCAAAGGAAACATAAAGGGCAACTACAATATTGTCTTGGCTTATGTTTGGTGAAACTTCAAGGATTTTACTTTCAGGTTTTCTTTCTAAAGACATTGAACCATTTAATTTAAATTATGCCTCAATAAATTGAGGTTTTTATTCACTGGATTTACAAATTTAATGGTTTTCAGTTCTTTATTGTAACATTTTATTGCAGTAGAGGCTTGATGAGGTGTTTTTTTCAGTAGGCTGTGTTATATTTCAGGTTAAGGCAGGTGTCTGCATACTGAATGTGCAGTTACAGTTTCCACTACTTTCCAAACAAATGCTGGCAGTCTTGAGGAGAAATGGCTCTGCTACTGAAAAGGCTGTTATGGCAAGAAGCACTGGGTGAACATGGGAAGTCTCAGTCTTGTCCATTTCTATCTCTTTTATTCCCCTCACTCATAATTGGTCTGCAGGACAACTGGATTCTCCCCAGGAATTTTAATGCACCTTCTACCTGTCAGTCACATGAGGGGAACATTTGTTTTGCCAAGGTGGGAAGACAGATTACAGTCAGAGCAGCTTGGGTGAGATTTGATGAAACTTTAGGGGCGTTTATTTTGCTTTTGCATTAAAAATAAATCCATTTACCGTTTTTTTGTTGCAGTTTTAAAATATTTCTTTTGCTTTTGATGCCTGCAAGGTTCTTCATGTATGACGGCATCACTTTAAAATCAAGCATCATTGCTCTGGGAAGATGTAAAGAAATGGCCTTTTTGGTTAATGGCCCAGGTGACGAATGGATTCAAGCGAGATGGGAGGAGTAACATATGAGCAAAGAAATGACCTTGATGGAAGCTTAATGTGAGCCTCATCTTATACCTTCGCTCTCTCTAGCTATAACTTTTAATGCAGTGTTATCGTGTGGATCCTGCTTTAAAGTGCAGAAACTTGTCCTCAGGGAGGCAATTTCTCCATTCTTTCTTTGCTGAATAACTTGGAAAAAGGAAAGTTTAATTATCTGTAGGCCAACAAAAATACTGACTGAATTACACCACAGTTGAATGCATACACACAGTCCGAAGGCAGCCTCATTTCAACGGCACAAGGACAGATTTCACCTTCATCACCTCTTGAACCTTCTGTGTTTTTGTTGTTTTTAAATGCTGGAAACCATTTTTGTTGGCGAACCTTGAGTTTAAGATCTAGTGTGCAAACACTTCTGGTGTCAGGCACCGTAAGGCAACTTTTATCATTTCAACGTTTGTAATGCGTCATCGGCCTGTGGGAGGAAATTATTAACATTTATGAAGGCTGTCGTCTTCTGGCATGGCCCCGCCATCTTTGTTTCTGTATCAACCGGCTCCGCTTAAGGATGACCAGTGGAAAAACTACAACACTGAGAGATCTAAGCAGATGAATGGTTTGCATTCAAAGTAGAATATCTTTGATATCCAAAAGTTTCAACACTAAGAAAATTAGCAGTATTGGGCATCACTAACACAAAAGCACTAATCATTAACGTTAGTTCTGCTAAAGCGCCATATCAACATGGTATTATGGTGGAAGCTAATGCTAAATTACATGAGTATTACCACGTTGATGCTCCAAAGTGCAACATGTTCTATAACATACTATATCGCCCTCTGGAGGATGAAATATGTCGCTGCACATTTACCTGAATGGTTATGCTTCAGGGAGTGATTGTTTGCAACAAACCTTTCACTTAACTATGAACCAAGAGTTCCTTCCGTTTTTGCCCCTCTGCTCTGGCCTGTTCCTTCCGTTTTTGCCCCTCTGCTCTGGCCTGTTCCTTCCGTTTTTGCCCCTCTGCTCTGGCCTCTTCCTTCCGTTTTTGCCCCTCTGCTCTCGCCTCTTTTGCCCCTCTGCTCTGGCCTCTTCCTTCCGTTTTTGCCCCTCTGCTCTGGCCTCTTCCTTCCGCTTTTGCCCCCCTGCTCTCGCCTCTTCCTGCGATGCGTGCCCAGCTTCCTGCAGGCTTTGAAAACCGGTTCCCTGAAGAAAAGCAGAGCTGAACTCTGGTTCTTGGTGCAGGATGAATGGCGACACGTCTTTCTCTCTGCCTCTATATGCATAGTGTGCGTAGCGGTGAGATGATGCAAAGCAGCATGCATTTTTCATGAGCTGTGTGGTCCTGCAGTGAAGTATTGTGTGGTAACTTTACACAACAACCAACCCCATCACTAAAACTCATTACCAGTGCAGGGCAGCCTTATTAACCGACTGCTTACGATGCTTCATCACCTCCCTGCTCTTAGTTTTCATATTCAGTTCTTTCAAAGTTAGCATAGATTGAATAAAGATCAAGCTTTCACGCTTTAATGTTAGACAGAAACTTAAAACTCTTGAGTTCTCCTCAGAAATGAATAATTGTGATTGTTCATTTTGCAGTGTGATGACTAATTAAATCAATTTGGGTTTAATTACCTCATCCATTTTTCCTGAGACCAGACCTCAACGGGGAGCTGCTTCCTTTGAAGCGTGTTTGTAGAGGCTGCGCTCACATTTAGGTTAATCCCATCCCAGCCCTTCTGAGCTGCAGAATGTTTTTATTTTTGTCGCTTTTCAAGTGAATTAATCTGTAGAGAGAGCTTTCTATTTTAAAAAATAAAAATATATATAAACCCAAATTGAACAGAAAAACAAATGTAAAAAATAAACTCTTCTCCGCTACCAGCTGGGCAGCTCCTATAGTCTTGATTATTCCCCATTTTCAAGAAAATGTGGTTTCAAGGCAAGATCCTTACAGATTTTCACTATAATTCAAAGATGGGTCTGGTTATAAAAGCAGAGAAAGTTATGGATATTCTTCAGTATGGGATGCAAGATTTAAAGAAGTAATACTTGGGAAAACATTGCATAAGGACAATCAAACAAAAATATTAGAGAAAATCAGTGGTGGAGGTTTATTTAATAAAGGAATCTGGTATCTTTCAGTTTGGATTCATTTGTAATTATTTTTACCAGCCAGTTAAACTAAAATAATTTTACAACCTTGGAAGTTCAAGATCATTTCGAGTGCCATGAAAAAGTATTTGCCTCCTGCATCTACATATATATATTTCTAAACGTGGCAGATTTTAGAAGGTAAGTTAGTTCTGTACAGCAAACCAACATATAATATAATAGTGCATGAAATTAAACAGACCACAGAGCATGTAGTAAAATAAAAAAGAAACCAACTCATGAAACGTTTTTGAGATTTAAAAACAAAAAGAAAAGATGTCTGGTTTTAGTATTTTCATCCATACTTTTGACAGAAAACATCCGATCATCACATCGCACTCATGTCTCCGACTGAACATCCAGATTTCTCTACAGAAGTTGCACAAAATGTTTTCTATTAGCTCTGATTTATTATTTTTATTGGTGTTTAAGCATCTTGTGAGCATACCAGATGTAACAACAAAGCTGTCAGAAAGGTCCAGAATATCTTCACCGAAGTGTTGTGACCATCAGGACGTTTCTTTAAAAGGAGCCTCTACTCTCAGAGCTTTGTTGTTGAATCGTGACCTCTGACCTCATCTTGGATAAGTGAGGCCTGCAGGGCGTCTGATGATGTTTGACCTCCTGGATGAGGCCCTGATGAGGCAGCTGAGATAAGTCAGCAGCTTCTCCAGGTTTCCTCGGTTTGTAGATGATTGTTGTTGCTGTGGATCGCTGGAGGCCCAAATGGGTCGGTGACCTTTCAGACTGATGGACGTCAACAACCGCTTCTCATCTGTTCTTGATTTAGCTTTACCTTTGAGTT